CCGTTTGTTGTTACTGTTATGGTATCTTTTATATTGTTCATACAGCTATAGCTGACTTTGATGGTATTTCGGTTGAATATTTTCCTGATGTAATTTTACCCACAAACTGACTTGAAGTTTTTAAGCTAATTTTTTTTAAACCACTTTTGTCCAAAAAAGCATATTTTTGACCCAAAATCAAAAGCGCATTCTGGATATTTAAAATAAAGACAAGTTTTACAAAGTTTGTATAATAAGCTTTCAGAAAATATATAACATGTTGGATATATAATACCATCTTCATTGTCTAATTACTCAATTAAAAAGCAAGCCGAATAAACTGCATCTCTACCTTAATTCCTCTATTACCGCATTTATTCGCTCTACATATACTTTGTATTGAGCACTTTTGTTTTGGAATAATCGACTCCCACATCTAGACTATATATATATATATATATCTATAACACAATGTAAAATGGATATATAAAATATGAACATAATTAGTCAAGGCATATTAGAGTTATGGCTCTAGAAGCACATTCATTCATACAAAATGGCCACCAGTCGGCCATTTTCAATTGATCTGAAAAATAAAATGATGTGCATCAGGAACCCATAATCTCTAATGTATGTACTAAGTTTGAACAAAATCCATTCGTAAACGCCAAGATCCAGTTCTGGAATGCCAGAAATGCTTGATTTTTGATGATTTTTTAGCACAAAAACGGCTGCCATTTGACCATTTTGAATCAGATTGTCAAACCAATATATCTATGTCATTATGTATAATGAATATATAAAATTTGAATATACTCAGTCACAGCATTTAAGAGATATGGCTTCAGAAGCCGAATCATTAAAACAAAATGGCCACCAGTCAGCTATTTTGAATCCAATCTGAAAAATAAAATGACGTGCATCAGGAACCCGTAATGTCTAATGTATAAACCAAGTTTGAACAAAATCCATCTGTAAACAGCCGAGAAATGCTTGTTTTTTTTAGCACAAAAATGGCCACCATTCAGCCATCTTGAATCAGATCGTAAAACAAAATGATGTGCATCAAGGTCCTATAATACCCAACGTATATACAAGGTTTGAACAAAATCCATCTGTAAACAGCTGGGAAATGCTTGATTTGGATGATTTGTTTTGCACAAAAATGGCAACCATTCGGCCATTTTTAATAGGATCGTCAAACCAATATATGTGTATATCTATGATATGATCTATAATGAATATTTGAAATTTGAACATAATCAGTCAAAGCAAGTCAGAGATATGACACTAGAACCACATTCATTAAAACAAAATGGGCGCCAGTTGGCCATTTTTAATCTTATCTGAAAAACAAAATGATGTGCATCAAGGTCCTATAATGTCTAACGTATATATCAATTTTGAACGAAATCCATCTGTAAATAGCCGAAAAAAGTTTGATTTTGATGGTTCGGCCATCTTGAATCAGATCGTAAAACAAATTGACATGCATAATGTATGTGTGAAGTTTGATTGTGATTGGTCCGGGCATTTCTAAGATACAGGTCAGCACGCACGCACGCACACACGAACACACGGACACAAGTTTTCAAACTGCGTCTGCACAGCGACTAAATATTAAACGCAGTCGTATAATTCAAAACACAGAGAATCAATTACAACTTTGGTCAATCTACATGATGTATACATAAGAAAAAAATATGGGACATAAACCTCTACGCCATTCCAGTATTTCACATGTATTATCATAAATATCGAAAAAACTTTATGATCTGGAAAGCAAGTTTGAAACTATTGTGTTGATTTATAAACTTTCTCTAGTACAAGATCCTGTTTTATTCTTATCATTGAATTTAGTTAAAGTAGTGTGAAAACAGCATTGATTTGCCTCTTGACTTGTCAGCTCTATTTAATAACAAATTTTCTGTCAAAAGAAATAGGGAGTATTGTCATTGGTATACAGATTCTGACAGGGGAACACTTCTCACTTCATGGTCACTGATGTACCACAGATATAACCCAACCCAACCCATTCCAACACCAAACTAACCACACCCATTCCATCACCAAACCACCCTACCCACCCAATCCAATTCGACCTGATCACCAAATCATCTCATCCAATCCCATCCCATCCCATCCCATCCGATCACCAAAC